GTATTTTTACAGTCTTTATTTTACAGTTAAAATGTATGTTTATCAAATAAAGTCTAATGTTACAACTAATCAGGGATCTCTTTAAGTTTATTTTTCTGGTTCCTAAATCAGTTTTTTTTTTTACTGCTGTACTGCACATCCACAATAAGATTAAACACAAATTTCCATGTCAGAATAGATCCGGTTTGCTAATATCGGCTCACCTGAGGTGACATTTTAGACCCCGGGGGTGTCTGAACAACGATAACAGGAGGATGTCCTTTTTAATAAGATGTGATATTGCTATTTATGAACGCAGCCACGTCGTGCTGGGGCTGCCGGTCCCATTACCATGACAATGAAGGCCTCTGGCATCAGCAGTTTGCATTCATACAGCCTGTTTGAGGAAAAGCTAGAGAGCAGAAGAGGATGAGTTGTTTTATTTTTACTGAAAGTGCTGTGATGTGCTTTAACTGCTCGTTTTCCGTGTCTCATTGTGTTCTTTAACAACTCTTACTTGCATAGTAATGCTTGTCCTGAAGGTTTGTGTGTTTTAGCATTAAATAAAATCATGCTTTTATTTAAAAAATGAAGCAGACTTCATAAAAAATGCTTGAAAAAGATGTAAAGAGCTTAATACGGTGGATAAAGCTGATTTTTTTTTCTGTGTCAAACTGCCAAGAAGAATAAAGTTTTGGATCTCCACCAAAGAAAACAGGAACAAACTGAGAGTGAACAGCTCCCAAACAGAAGCGTCTATCACACAAGCTTGTTAGCAGCACATTGGTAGCGTCACGCTTTCCTAAAATCCTCTGAAACGGTAGGAGGTCTCAGACAAAGTATCCTGTTTAAGCTGAGTGTTGTTGGCAGCTGTGAGTTTGATTCTATAGGGAGGACGGATTAGAAAACTCATATTTAAACAGGCTGACTCTTCCTTTTTATCCGTTTATGTCATTTTTTTTTCACACATCGCTCTCTCTAATTAAGCAGTTGTCATTTTTGTTCTCTTCTTTTGTTTTATTTTTAACTCTTTAACCTCCACGTCCGTTTCACCGCCGACCTCCTGAAGAGAGAGCAGCGAAAGAGCCTGAGGGAGCTCAAAATGTGGCTCGACCAGCTGGAGAGAGAGGCAGCACGGGCGCAAGAGACCGAGGCCAGTCTTGCTCAACAGTACCAGGTTCGTGCGTGTGTCTGCTCGGGCGTGTGCGTGCAGGTTTAAACCAGGGACACCAGACACAGGCGCCCCTATTATTAGCTTAATCAGTGGCGTTTCACTGTAGGGATCGAGCATCAGCCGTCATAATATTCAGTCAGCCTCAGGGATACATTTTATATTCAGCAGCAGCATGTAGGATACCCTCATTTTCTTTGCACAAGTCAGAAAATTTGAAGATAAAAATAGGCATTTAGCCTCTGATTTTGTTCTAAACCTGATTAGATGTCAGCAGGAAAAGGGTGTGGGAAAGAAAATGTTCTACCCGTGGAATATTAATGATTTCATTCTGTTTTCAGTTGTTTAAGAGCGTGCATGTCCAGGTGGAGATGAGGCGGAAGCAGGTGGAGGGAGCGCTGCAGTCCACGCAGAGGGACGGGATGCTAACCGTGGACCAGGCTCTGGTCAAACAGGCGTGGGAAAGAGTTTCCAACAGGGTGAGAGAAGATGGGCGACTCCGTCTACGTTTGCTAAGAAACATGACAAAGTTGTCACAACGACTCCGTTTGCAAACAGGGTTCCTGCAGATCCTTAAAAAGTCTTAAACGTCATTGAATTCATCGATCCAAAAATAAGGCCTTAATTAGTTTTAACAGCTAAAAGCAGCAAAAATTTACCCAAAACATAAAAGCAGACAAAGATTATTTAAAAAGGGTCAAAACTTTATAGTTGGAGGTTAAAAGTGGCAAAAGGTTAGCTAAAAGTTCAAATTAATTAAAGCCTAGCTAGCTACATGGTAAACACAAACAGGCTAGCTAAAAGTAACAGAAATGTAGCTGAAAACTGAGGGATAAAAGAACAGCTATATGCTAAAAGCAGCTGAAGTCTAGCTAAAAATGTAAATTTTGCATAAAGCACCTGAAGCAGATTTTAAAAAGCACAATGTTTTCTTTGAAGAAATATTTTTGGGTCTCTTTGGAGAACTTATTTGTAAATAAAGGTTAATATTTCAAAGAGTACAAAAGTTACAAAACCTGTAAGTCACAGCACCCATTTCCTGAAAAAGCTGAACAGCTGAATGGTGAAATATTAGYTTTTTTACTTGTTACACTGCAGTTAAATAAAACTCATGAGTAGATCTATTAATTTACTGGTTTCCCTAAACTTTTTATTTCGCAGCTTGTAGAGTGGCATCTTCAGCTGGACCGGTCCCTCCCAGCTCCTCTGAACACAGTTGGAGCGTGGCTCCACGAGGCTGAAGGAGCCCTGCGGCACGAGATCGTCGTCCAGCAGGCCCATGAAATCACAGCAAACACTGTGCACAGAGCTCTGCAGCAGCACAAGGTCAGCGTGGAGCCAAGATCCCTTAAAAGCATTGACGGATCAGTAATTAAATACATGTTTTTGAATYGGTTTTTGCGCCGTACGTTGGGCAGGATGTGTTGAAGAGCCTGGAGAGCCACCAGCAGGTCTTTCAGAGAATTCATAAAGACAGAAGCGTCGATGGTGTCCCAGTTCCACCCGACCAGCTCCAAGACATGGCTGAGCGGTGAGTCCTGGAACCACGCTTAGACATTCTGTTTTTTGCAAAGGCGGCAGCAGTAGATGAGTATGAAAACGTCAAGTCTGAAAGCTTGATTAAATTTTGTCTTTTTGTCAGGATGAACTTTGTTTCTACGTCCTCCAGCGCCCACCTTGCTAGAATGGAATATTTGGAGAACAAGCACCACATGCAGGCCTTCCTCACACTGGCCGAGTCCAAACTGAAATCCTGGATCATCAAATATGGCCGCCATGAATCTGTGGAACTGATGCTCAATAACTACACTGTAAGAGTTTCAGTTTCTTTTCCATTGATGTAAAACACTTGAATCTTTAGGGTCCTTGTGTTAGTTTCAGGATGTTTTTGTCTGAATATTGGATCCATTCTTATGTTGTTGTTGTTGTGTTTTCATCAGTCATTTGTGGAGAAGCAACGCTTCTTTGAAAAATACGAGATAATGTTCCAGTCCCTGAAACAGTCTGCAGAGGCCTACATCAGTGTGGACAGCTCAGGTGAGAACTTTTACTGTAAGTTCTTCAACTGAAGAACCATTTATATGTCTAATAGTTTATGTTAAGTTAGCTAATCAGTTATTAAAAGGGGGTATTTGGCAAAATCAACTTTTCTAAGCTTTATATCATGTTTTAATGTCATTTCCTCATCAAGAGCATCCCTGGATTGCTTTCCACGCATGTTTGAGAAATCCTTGGATCTCCTGTAACCATGTGGAGCTAACTAAACACTTGCTGGTACAAAGCACCGCCTATTTACCCAGAACTCCTCCCTGGAGCTCAGTCTGCAGCCAAGCTCCCGCCCCACAGAGTGCCCGTCCCCCAACGCATTGTTGACGTGCTGAAGTGGGAGTGTCAGAAATGATAGGGGGTTAAAGAGACAGAGGTCAATTTCAAGGCGTTTAGATAGGCTATGAGGCAAAATCAAATTAATTTTTTGATGTAAACAACATTTTCATAACAATTGAAGGTAACAGTTACTTGATTGTGGTATAGAATTTCAGTATACTATATGTCTGGAAAATACATACCGCATTTATTCAAGTATAACACGTAAAATTTAATCCATAAAATCATCCATAAAGTTGGAGGATAGTATTATAATCGGATAAATATTTTTACTTATGTATTTTAACTGAAATATCGGCTTCATTCACAAAATGCCTGAGTCCGAAAATGAGACTGCGTCGTAAAAAGCAGTTGAAACGAGCTTGCCTCTGACRCTCCTMWKTGCTTCAGAGCGAGATAGTAACAGATCCAGGCAGGCGACATGATGTGAAAAAAGGGKGGGSGGAKCAGTCCTGAACCTTAGTAATGATAACAAACTAATAAMATTAGCGTGTGACCGGGCCGCTGCTAGAACAACAACAAACAYGTTTGTCTGTAATGGCTGCCRTYYACCGGTGTTCTGAAAAAGTTTATATCCCTGAAAAATGTTTCCCCACCAGAGGGGGCGCTCACGAGTAGGAAGTAATCTGCTTTTCCTCCACAAGATGGCCCAAACCTCATGTGAAGTCTCTGTCATTTGTGTTGGTGCCTCCTGGTGGACTATGTGTAAAATACCAGAATCCATATGATGCTGCTACAGCTGATGTATATTTGTTGTCAAAATACCTTTTAGTACATATGTTGTTAAAATAAAATGAACAGTCCAATGATCATTTTACTGATATGTATAAAGACTGCAAAGGCTGAAAAATCTTGAAGTCTGTATGAAATTGGAGGTAATTTGAGGATTAAATTTTTATGCTTTTTAAGCTCAAAAAAGGGAGGGGGGTCGTATTATAT